GAAGAGAATAATTTTAGATCAAGGCCTTATAAAAGATTATACTATCTTATTCTATGACAGGCGTGTGCAGTTGATTAGCAATAACATATCATCCAGTATTATACGCCCCTCCTCGGGAGTAGTAAAAACTATATAGAAAGTAATAACTTGATTCAGTATAATTCGTAAAATGTGTATGGTTCTTATATATTGTAGCGATCGCTTAATTTATAACGCAATGAAAGGTTTAAAATACAAATGTTGAAGATTTTCTAACGTTTTGCATATCTTAATTAATGCCTAATTATCATAGTTGGGAAATATAATAAAAAATATGTAAATACTTTGGCAGATAACTTGCATTTATAACGGACTGAAATATTAATTATGTATGGAAGTGATTAGTGCCAAAGATTTAGACTTGGTATTGCAAGCAACATATTCAGTAACAAAAATAACTTTCTATGAACCTGGTTTAATTTATGTATAAATGATGTTTGTACGGTTAGATTAGTTGTTTTTTTTACATGATTATCTATATTCATTATAATATGTTGAAAAAAGGGATAGAATTGTATATTTCTATGAAAGAAGAAAGAGCGTTAATGAAGCCCCAACCTACTGATTTAACTTAATGGAATTTGTCTGCTTTGAATTAAATCACTCTAATCGAATTTTAAAGGATTTCAATATCAAGCAAATTACAAAATAGTGGCTAGCAACAGGATAGAGCCTGGTTAATCTGAACTTTACCTTGCTCTATACATGTTACAAAGGTTAACCACCTTCAATTTCAGCAGATAACTGGTTATCACACATACGAAACAGTAACGACTGGAGGTATGTGAATCGGATGGACATCAAAGAGAGATTAATTTAATAATGAACCACAGAATTTTATTTCATCTAAACCTTGAATTACTTCTTTTTTTATTCCATCGCGTTAGTCTAAGTGTTTGTGCTTGTGTATGTGTGTGTTTTTTTTTAATTTTTCAAAAAACGAACAAACGTCTTTTTCTGCAAAAATTATATTAAAGAACTAATTTTTGTTACTTAATATGGTAATTCAAACTCAGTTGTGTAAGAGGAGAGTCACAGACTGGTCGATAAATTTGTCAGCAGGGTATTTTCTATAATTAGGCTTACAGCGTTCATATATCTGCAGCAGACGATAAGTTTCCGGCCGACACAAAGTTACAGAATTGACTGCACTATAACACAAGTTAAGACGTTGCATTGAATAATAATTCAATTCGTCTTTATTTGGATGTTCATTTGTTCTTAAATGTTTTAATAATTATTTAATGCATTTCATAAGAGGTCTAATTTTTTTATCTAGAAGATGTGTAATTTAATCTTTGTGTGTAATTAGTTACAAATTACTGTATCTTCTTTTCTATCTGAAACTATCTGAAATATCAAATCTGTACTAAATCTACAATATCAAATCTGTGAGCTTTGACTCGAGCTATGATGTGGTAAGTGTAAGAAAAGAAAATATAGCAACTATTTGCATACTTCGAGTTTGTGTTTACTTTTCTCTTTATTTGTCTTTATATCTTTTCCATCTCTATAAAAACGTTTCTTTAGTATTAATAATTGTATGAAGGACTGCAAAATAAATAAGGAGAGATTTAAAGGAAATGTAAATATTTCCCAAACGTTTTGATACAGTCGTGTCAATGTTGATATTAGAAGATTAATTGAACATAAATATTTACTTGCTTTCATAACTATATACATGCTTTATTGATTACAAATGGCGAAGGTGATACTTTGAGGTGTTTTACACAGTATGTTCAAAAGCCAAAGTAACATAATTCACAGCCTTTGTTAAACTTGTAGTTAAGTTTAATTTACAGTCGTAAAAATCACTTTATCATCTGTAACTACCCATACGGAACAAAATAAACAAGCGGGGGACGATAAATTCGTCAAGTCACCTTCGTTTTAAACCGATACATTCTTAAGAAGAAAAAAGGATGTTAGCTTGTACAAATAAGAGACACTGCACAAAAAGATGTTGATAGAATTACACTGATAACATTCCACCCTTTTTGAAATTTAAGAAAGTAGCGACTTTGATCTTTAAGTAGTACAAATTGTTTACAATATAGATACGGTATAAACCAAGGTAGTATTACAATTACGTTTGTATTTCGTATATTTATTGGTTAAAACTGGCGAGCCATGCCTCAAGCAACATCTGGTCATTTACTGAATATGTAATTATTCAGATTGACACTGCGATACGGGATTACTTTTTCATATGAATACACACCGGTGTTAAAATGTCGTCTGCTTTAATAGTGATATGAATTGAAATATCCAATATTATAATAGTAATAATACTTGTGGGAGATTTAAACCTGTATTGAAGATGATTGTATACCTCCTATTGATGTAATTTGATGATTTTTTTTCTGTTTGAAAATTACAGGATAAAACGCATAGTTGCTTGCATGGATCATAAAACATAAACGTATGAAGTTTATAGTCATTAAGTGTGACTCTGCTCTAACTTACATAATAACACATAGCTCATATCATCATTTAATCATATACGGAATGTGCCTGTCAAATGCAGACATTTATGTGTTTAGAAACTGTTCACATATACATTGTATATATATATATATACATTAACTCATGTATAGTTATGTTTGTGTGGTATTTACAAACAGCGATGTATGAAGGAAATATTTGTGTGTAATGCCAAGATACTTTATGACCCTATGTACAATAAGTACATACCTTTCATCAGTTCTGAATACAAAGCGCAAGCAGCTGGCACGTGTGGAGTTTAGCATTGTATACTTTTGGATTAAGTTTTGGATGTATATTCGGCGGGTTTTTTGTTTTGTTTTGCAATGTGGGATATAAATTCTATTGATTCGCCATTTGTAAATGGAATGTCGTTCAGTGTTATTGGAAAGTGTATGTCACCAGCTTAGAGGAGCATGTGATAACAGCTTGTTATTTCAGTACATCTACATTTAAATTTATAATAAGTCTATAGAAATAAATTTGCATACCGACAAGGCTGTAACAGATCTATTAGCGAGAGTACATGTTTACCTATAAAATATCTTTATACTGTATTCGCCATGCTATTGTTTATATTATAAACAATAATGTTTACAGTATAAACGTCTCCTATATAACCATGCTTATCTTGATATCTACCATTTTGGCAATAGCCACTTCAGTAATAAGAATATGTGCGGATCATATATAAATCAATTCGTTCACTTTCGATAATTTATTGATCAAACTTAAATTGATTAATGTCTATATTATTATATGAAATTTATTTATGACTGACCTTTTAAAAACCGAAAATTATCATAACAAACGAGTTCTGAAACGTTGTTTTTTAAGCTGAGTATTAACTTTAGGATCGGCCATTGCCTAAAATGCAGGATATCTATCAGTATGTCAACTAGTATTAAACTTTTCTGAGGGTAACATTATTCTCGTCTGCTTTAGATTGTGTAGAAATGGCGCCTATATCAGCATTTGAGCTAACAAGCAAAATAGAGTCTACATCATAGAGTTCAAACAAAAATATAAGTGTTCCTCATAAACATATGTTACTATCCATCAACAGCTTGTGATAGAACCCTTTAGCTTTTAAGAAAACAGTAACTTACTGCAAAATAATTGAATAACGCGGGAATTTATTTTCATACTGTTTCCAAAACGAAAAATTCTCGGCAACGTCGTGTTCAAGTTCAATTATCGATTTTACTTATTTCTGAAAAATGTTAACTTGGATAATGCATTCGTTCCTCGTTAAATTTAATTGCATGTACTACAACGGCAATATGTGTATTTATAAACACAGTAAAACGGTTAATACGAGTATTATTTGACTTACAAAGGAGCTGTTGTATCTGTTTATGTACATTGACCTGTATTTAATGTATGCATATTTAATGATAGTATATCGATCATCGATACCCAGTCTCTGTAGTTTATAATTCCTTTGATCTATTTATATAACATGTATATATATATATACTGATTTGCGCTTATTGACCGAGGAAAATAACCAGATTTAGAAGGGTCTTTAAGTATATTGTTCTTTAATTGCACTTGATTCAGTGTTTTCTTATCGCATGTCTGCAAACGGATTTAGTTAGTGTAATTTGTCTAACGAACATAAGAGACAAAAGAAGCGGTATTGCGCTTTTTCATAATAATCTAGTTTAAAACGATCTCGAATGAATCATACTTAGATTATAATCAGTAGTGCTTATGTAATATTTACTTTTTTTCTTCTTTTTTGTGTGTGTGAAACTTGCAGGATATATTAACTTTCACTTGTCGTTAAATTCATTTCGTGACCAAAGTTTGCTTTTCATTTCCCTGAACCATTTTGTGGATTAGAGTATAGTGCACCCTCTTCACAATAGCAGTATAAAGGGTATTATTCTGCAGAGGTGGATTTTTACTTAAAGTTCTTGTTTCCGCATTTCAAAATCTGATTACGATTTAATGCATTTTAAAATATACAGAACAAAAATAATAATGACGATTTTATTTATATATTTTATTTATACCGGTTTGGCTCAAGTATGTTGTTTTTCAATACCTAAATAATATAGCATGTCATGAATCAGTTACAGGGAGGGGATGTGAAACTGTAGACATTATTGATATGTCTTGATTTAATAAAGAGTGCAATATATCTCCTGTCAAAGAACAGAGAGTTTGAGTTTGACATAGATTTATAGTCAATGGCGTTTCCGGGGAAACAACAATACATAAGTAGAAACATTGCTAGCATACGTAATCTTGAGGAGTACGTCCGCATAGTGTGCTCTTAAACAACAACAAAAAAAGAAAAAAAAAAGAAAAAAAAAACATTAACCGCGTTAATTTTTTATTCCCGCGTAAACGTCACGTTCTGTTTAGCGTATAGTTAAACGGACGTTGCGTCATCAACAAAGTAACTGACAAACACAGATTCTCGTTAATATTTTGGACTTAATGTTAGGAGTTTGTTCTATTTTCAGAGAGATTAAGCCATGAAAAAGACATGTTTAACCATGATATAGTTACTAAATGACAATAAATTGACGATTAATTAACCCAAAGATCTTTTATAACCGAGGCAGCCGTGTAAACTTTGACAAGAAAAGAAATATTTACTGGTTTTCTAATGCGAGAAGTATGTTAAGTCTCTCAGAAGACGGGTTAACAAGTGGATTTGTTTAACTGACAGTACTGGCCACAAGAATTGCAAGGGAACTTTAGATATACGATAAGATAATATCCTGAATTTGCATGTGGCTTCGGTATACTTGATTATGAGTGGAGTTGACATTTATAGATTTATCAGAAAATGACAGACCATTGAGAAAATAGCGTTAAGACTCGAAGTCTCGTACATATAGAGAGTGCAGTTATATATTGTTATCTATAAGTGAGTTATTTTAAAAGTGTAGACTGTATAAGGAAAAAAGAAATGGAAGATGTTTGGGAAACCCGACAGGTCCAGGATGATCAAGGGAACCTCTTGGCGGAGCACCATAGGGTGTCTAGAGATAAAGGTATTTTTAACAACAATAACATTTCTTTACAGTAAAATATATAGTATCACATTTGAAAATTTCTACATACTATCAAAGTGATGTTCATTGTAAAAACGTTAAAACTATGTGAATAATCAACAATTCTGACTGGGCAACAGAATTACACAAAATAGAAAATGTGCTTGATAAATAAAATTCCTTGCAATTTCAAAAGATAAAAATAATTAACTAGCGAAGGAGAGGTAATGATAATAGAAAAACACTATTTGTTTGATATCAAAGTTTTAATATTATATCGTGTATCTTAGACCAATTTATATGCTGCAATAAAACAAGATCAGAAACACAAGGTATCATTTTAGATGTTCAATATTTTAAATAATAATGCTTGTATTTTATAGGCTGTAGGATTTATGAATATAGGTGGTCTCTATGTTTAAATTAAACTCGCTTCTTTCCTCTAAATGACCTATGGCCATAGATTATTTGTAATAACAATTGAATTTCTTCTTGGTTAGATTAATTGAAGATATTTGCCAAATTGTGCCAAAAAATGTTGTCTGATAAGTGGGCGTCTGTAGATTTTCGTATACACTATATGATATAAGACGTCTGCTGTGATTTTTTTAGCTTGTTTGTTTACAAACAGAACGCACAACAAAACAACTTTTATCGTCTGCAGAACACGTGTGAACTGTTTAGCCTAAAATAAAAATAATTCATGCCGTATCATTTCGTGTTTATATACATACTATAATGGTATATTTTATAATGTTTTTATTCTTTAAATGGCATTAAATCCAAGTTGCTCTTAAATCCGAAAACGTATGTTCAATTAGCCAAAAGACTTTTTTTTTGGAAAGTTGAATTAAATTCCTGTTCTTAAACATGATAGATAAGCTTTGTTAAAACCGGAGTATTGTTGAAACGTGTTTGTAAAACCGTTTGCGATAAAAGCAATACAAAATAAATTACGTGAATTACGTGTCTTGAAGTGCATCAAACGTCGTCATCTGTATATTACGACTGAATTTTTATGGCGGAAATATTAATATGATATTCGCACCGTTTTGTCTACGTTGCTAAATTGCATATTGATGCTCTGTAACCTTTCATGCATATTTTACATGAGGGATGTCTGCTAAATGCATTATGTTAATTTGAATATTTTACATGCTCTATTATCTACTAGAGTGTTGAAAGTATGATTTTACTTTCTTTGCTACATGTTCACGGTTCTTTAACACTTTGAAAGTGCATGTATATATTTACAAAAAAAGTTAAGTGCATATTTTATTGCAGCTCATGCATGTAAAATATTATGCAGATGATCAGTATATAACGAAAAACAAATGAGCTGGACAACAAGTTCTTGCAACATTAGATTAAGCCCTTGCCAGTTAAATGTATACATATGTATAATATATTATTTTGCCAACATATTGTTAAATCAATATAAATTTCATGTACATGTTTTAACAAATATGAATTATTAAGGCGAGTATATCGATGGGTATGCTAGAATTCCCGAAAATAAAAATCAACATCACTTTATCAATTGTAGAAAAACATTTTATTTTTTACATAATTTAAACATCATTTGTTAAGAGAGTTCTAAACATGACTCATATGTAGAATATTAAGTATCCTTTTTTTTAGAAAATTACTCTGTGCAAAATGCAAATGAATCTACCATTGGAAATGGAAATGTTTCTGATTGTTGAATATAGAAGTAGTGAATCCCTGCATGGAGATTTCGTGCAGCCAAGCTTTAAATGACTGCTTAACATGCATAAACATGTAACCTTATTTTCCGACCAACATTACATTCAGCTATAATTGAACCATATTGTTACAATCAAAGTCGCTGAAGCAAGGATGTTGATACTTTTTTTTCGCAATGTAATCAATAAAACAGGGCTGTAAATTGTTCCAGTTTAAAGCGAGTTATGTTGTTGCTGGCAATATGGACTTGTGGAGAATTTCGTAACGCACTATTCAAAGCTTTTTTCAGAATTGGTAAAGATCTGTTTCAAGAATGTTTTGAATAGGGAACCAACATGTCAAAATGAAATCGTTTTCTTAGGAAGCCCGTTATAACATTTCTAAGTTTTTTTATGTATAGAAAGGATAGAGCTCTATGTTATGAATCAAATATTCGAGATGAAAACATTTCACTCATAACGCAAGATTATTGCGGTATGCCAAATGTTATTGCGCTTTTGAAGTTGAAGTATTTCGTCTAAAAACGTAATTACTGATTGACATTCTCTATAATATGCAAAGGTTACATCTTGCCGTATTTAACGGTCCAGTTAGGTGGAAAATTAAAATGGGCTTATCAGAGTGAATATCAACTTCGAGTGTTTACGCCTGCGCTTGATTAAAATAAAGAATGATTGTGCATTATGTGCTTGATGTTGAATGTCATATTTTCTTAGAGCAACCTTAAGAAATGCTTGAAAATTCGTAAATGAACGACTTTTTATTCTGTTTAACGGGGTCTTGCTCATATCACTTTAATAAGCTTTGTGTCTTGAAATATAAAATAATTATTTTTTATGCAGAAAACTGTATGAAGTAGAAAAATCTTATCCTTGTCTTTTTGCAATGTCTACACGAAGGTATTTAAAAGTGAAGGTATATGGGTGATATAGAACTGCTTTTCATATACTCATTGAATTCAGTGACTAATATTTACCATACACAATTACACTAATCTTATTAGGATATCATTTAATTAAATCAGTTTTAAGTATATTTCAAATGGAAAATTTGGATATTATGCAAAGAAGTTGCAGTTTACTTGCGGAGGTATTATTATCTGTTTACAATCTCTCAAAAGTTCTGGTCTACTTAATGTCTTGCATGCCTGCGAAGCGTTACTTAGATGAGTTTAATGCGATTGACCATGACATCTATGGAGTTATTCACGAGTTATTCACATGAGTTATTCACTGGAGTTATAACGGAGCATCAATAAAAAAGCTTCCACTTTCATTTAAGTAACTTTCTCATTCGGAAAAAATAGCATCCTAAGTGTTTTACAAATAAATAGAGCCACAAGACAATTGATTTTCGAGTCATCTTGACCAGATGTTCACAAACCCTACACTCTCCCCCATCCAGAGAAGGGTTGAAAAATAATTGTTTTGCGTGTTTAATAAATAAGTGAATACTTTTAATTCAATGCCGATAGTTTCTATATAGTACATTCAGCATAAATTAAATATACTCATTGACGGATGTATTATAACATTTTTCTCCTAGAGGGTGGCATATTATCTACGTTTTTGTCTTCATTATACAGTCGCAATAATGAATGTTGTCCATTGTTAGAGAACTATAAATATGCTCTTGTCCTTTCATTAACATTGTGCCGTTTATATTAAACGGAAATGGTTTTACATTTTATGTGAATACTGGCCCAAACAGTGTAAATTTTCACAAGTTGCCTGTTTAAATATTCGAAATGTAAATGAATCGGCTGCTTGAAAGGATATTAATACAAATGAGAGCGGAATTACATTAATTGTTGGCTGTTCTTTCATGCTATGTCAAATTAAAAGGTACTTAGTTCAGCACTGGTTCACGCACTTAAATTATATCACTGATACTATTTTAGAATAAGGGTGAGATATTGGTAGGTTTTTTTTAAAGGCAAGGAGTGTTCGATATTCGTAGAATAAAGAAGTTTATATAGAAGAACCGAAATGTTATATATCAGCACTTCCCTTTTTGTTTTTCTATAAACCATCAGCAGTAAAATATAATGGTTTCACATACTATCAGTTCAGATGGGAAATGTATTTTAAAGCGTCTATTTATACAAATAAGTACCAACAACTTTGCATTTGTATCTTCAGTATACCTTCATAGCGATACATCTCATCTTGTCAGTATGAATCTTTGACCTAATCTTTATCCAAAATGTTCCAGCTATGCTGTATGTTATAAGAATTTAAATGAAGGAGCTGATATTATTTCTTTCATTTTACCTTTCCCTTTCCTCTTACCATTTTCTCGTATTTTGCTCACCGGTACACATAATTAACAATGAATGTAATAACTGACCGCTTGACCACAGGTGGGGTACGGCCGAATAACCCGTAGGCAGTCTTTACTCTTTGTACTGGCTAATTAGATTTAAACTGTAAACCACTTGTCCTTGTCATTCATAAGGTGATGACAACGATAACGACCTTAGGGTACATTCGTACATTGAGTATACTGTCCCCACCTACTCATATATACGTGTGATGCACGGTGTACTTCTTGTGAAGTTAAAATTGCCTTACCATACCATATTTGTTATGTTTGGTTCATTTAACATAATATGTACCGTGGGAAAATTGTAGGTAAAATATATAGGTTTGTAAAATATATATACAATGTGAAAAGTAACTAATACTACACATATGTTTTGATTAGTTTACAAGTTTGTGTACATCTATTTACCTTTATTTTACGACAGTACTCATTTTGAACAACATATCAATCTTCAATGAAGGCCTTTCACTTAAACAGCACAATTTTAACACGTACGAATTAAATAGAGCTATCAATTTGTAGTATAAGATATCAAACATTGTCATCATGTATTTTATAAAGAAGTCTTATTACATATAAATATCAGTCTTTGAACAATCATAAATTTAAAGGTTACTTAAAATTATGTTAAAAGTGTAAAGTTATAAATAGTTCCCATATTTTCCATTAATCTTCTGATATCACTAATGTGTATCTTATACCATCAAATATATTAGTTAAAAAATGAAATATCTTTATCCGAAGTTAGATATAAAAAATGTGAACTAATCTCAGAAAAATATTTCTCCACCTCCTACAACTGTTATCAGTATGACTTCCGGTTATTTCGTCTTGGAACTCTAAAAAAAACAGTCTACTTCCATGGAGATAATATAGTCCGAAAATAAATATCTTATCTTGATCAGTTACGATAATTCATATTTGTACATCTATTTTCATATCCTCTATGAAATGATAAATCCCAGTTACAGTATAATGATGGTAGAGATTGGTATTTGATCATTCTGAACTATATTTTGTTTATAGTTTGGTAAGCAGTATGTAAAAGCTCCTCGCTAGGGACTCTTTTTTATCTTTAGAACTTGGTGGATGTTTTCTTATCTTTGTAATATTGAATACATGTTCCTTCGTATCAGATCTTATATTATTTATTATAGCATAAAATCGGCTATTTTTCCCTCTTTTGCCCATGTTATAACGGGACCAAAACCATGTGTTAACATAGTCACGCGCTCTTGTTATAGCCCGGTTTCACCTATGCGCAATACATACAGGGCCCAGTAAACAAACAAACAAAAAATGACGATTTGGCCTGTTTGCCAAAGAGTCATGCGCTCTTGTTATATTGAAAATTGATACGAGGGCCTCAGTCGCATATTCAAGTAACTATGCCGGAAAAAACGGCGTATAGACATCGGTGCTTATCTTTGTTGTCGCCCTTTCTAAGAAACGGACAGTTGTCAATGTAAACAAATACAGTAGAATCTACCTGTCATTCAGTTTAACACTCCGATTAACTTTCAAAACTAGATAACACAAAATTAATATGAGAATGTTTTTATTTATGTCAATGTTGATAAATGCTCTTTATATTTCTTTGAGAGAATAATGCTTAGTGCCTGATTTTTTGCTTGAAAAAAAAACCGATTCTGATGTCACTGATCTTTTTTCTACCGTCAATCTGAAATCATTCTAAGAATTTCTGAGGGTCATGTTTTGTCTTGGGTAGAAGGTAGAGTAACTTAACGGTTTTTTTTCTTGAGATAATAAATCTCCAAAGGCCAAGCTTTGCTAAATCAATTTAAATTCAAAATTTTGTTCGGTTCCGAGAATTTTCCAAGTTGTTGGCCCCGGAAAAATGAAACGCATACGTAAAACATAGAATTGGATAAATACCGTCCAAGCACAAGAATTAAAATGTAATTGTGTTTTGTTTAAACTATAGATCACGAATCTGTTTGAAAATTTTATGCTATAATAGCGTCAACGCACGTTTATTTCGTGTTATAAAGTCTGAAGAGTCCCTCGGAACTGTTGGAGCCCTCGCCCTACCGGGCTCGGGCACCAACCGTTCCTCGGGACTCTGCAGACGTTATAACACGGAAAAACGTGCGTTAACCCTATATTACATTTGTCCGCCCTCATATTAATATAGTTTATATATATTGTAAGTAGGGCTATTACATTGATACTAGGGCGGGTAAAGATGCAATTTATCTTCATTCTCAAACCATTAGTCTAAGTGGAATGTTATGTTCCTGCTAGACAACCGGTGTATAGACAATGTCTTTAATACCATTGATTGTCACAGAATTCATGTGTTTTCTATGAATCCTTTATGTGCGCCATACTATATACATCTTACAAGTTGCGCTTACGTTTTCAACACTAATAAAGAATGAACAGCTCTATTTTATCAAATCATTGCGCTTCTAATTTCAGAATATATACCTCTGTAATTTTTCAGGTTTTATTATCTATGGGACGCAGAAATGACATAAGTTACTCTTGTTAAGTTTTTTTTTGCATGATTTCTACTTACGATGTCAGTCGAAAGTTTGCCTACTTCGCTAGACCCTGACCAACTGCTATTACCTTATTACTAAGTGTCTATTCAATGTGATAGACCATAGAGACACGTGATTAGGTGCGACATCCGACCATACTTAGTTGTTCTATGCAACAAGTTCCTAAAAATGTTGAAAAAACATACAGTCATGTTTAATTAAGTGGCTAAAATAATGAAAAAAATAGCAACAGCAAATGAAAATCTTCAAAATATCATATATGTTAATAAAGCACATACGATAAACCATGATTATAGTACAAATGTATTTCCATAAATTTTGAAGGTGGATTTCATTTACCTTGTAAATTTAAGTACTTGTTAAAGAGTTTAAGCAATTCTTAAAATATTTATCGATCTAGCTAAATATTCATTAACATAATTTAGATCTATTGTTAATATTCATCATTGGTATCATTAATATCAGGGCTACTGTTTCGATGTCACATTGCATAAAAAGTGGCTCTAATGATGTGTTTTCATTGATTATTGTCAATGTATGATTATCCCATAGCAGTTGTATTGAAACCTAACAGTAATACACCATCTTACTGCCATTATTTATATCACCATTCCCAATTAACGATTCGTCTTAAATGGATGCAATCACGTGATCTTAAAGTTACATTGATACGCAAATGCTGCTGTAATGCAGTTGACCTTTAAGAGTATGCATGTTGCCGGCGGGCATTGTAATGTCTTCTTAAATTAGACATAAGCACGACTTGTATTGATCAAACATGCTTATTGACAATGTATTGCCGACAGCCACCGCTACTACACCGTGCGCGTATAACGTTAATTGCAAGTATCCAAGGTTTAATAGAAATAATTCTCTACTATCAAAAGGTGTTAGCAAGGCAACTTAATGAGGTTTTCTGATAAGACTTAAGTTATCGAACTGGGTACTTATTGGCATTTTAATGTTCCAGTGATCGTTTGATGTATATACTTGCTTATATGTTATCCAGTATTTATGTTGACTGATCTTGCACATTTCTTGCTTTGACTATATTTTTACGTTACTTTCTTTTTAACCGAATAAATGAAACTGCATTTCATAGGATATTTCACTTTTAAAGTTAACATTTTTGCGGAACGTTATTGACGAAAAATGGGGCTTCTCTCGTTTGACTCTTTTATCTTCTTTTGCACGTGTCTGAGGAAGTCATTAAAATATATATTACAATTAAAACATCAAGGTTAATTTATAAACTGTCAAAGTGGAGGCTTAAAATAAATCTGTATTTTTATTTTGAAGAGTGGCTGCACAATCACATTGTTTGTACCCTTTTGTGCATATTGGTTGAATACGGAAGGGCAGTTGGTGTCAAGATAATATCTTAAGCGTTCTTGTTCTTTCTTTCACAATTTTGTAACACTGTAAAACAAAACTTTTGAAGTCCTGTACATACTTTGCAATAGTTTAACGATGCGTCAGTGCGAAAATTATACAAAACACTACATTCAATTTTCTCATTTTGTACGGATGTTTGAATGTAGCAAAATTAATATAACAAGACGTAATTATATCTATGCTTGACATACATCAATTGCAAAACTTTATGATACAATATTTTAGAGCTATTTTGTCACGTTAAAATTGCAAGTGGCGTGTCGACAGTAATTCATGAATCTTAATCAGTGAATAAATGAGGCGTTAGTTATATACTGAACACAGGTATTCATTACAGGGATGTGTTTTTATTGATTTCGTTTAATCAGAAAGGCTAGTGCTAAACTGGTCGTTGACTTTTTTCCAGTGGTATATACTGGAATCAGTCATTGGATTAAATATTTATCATGGCGAGAGTGTAAATCAGTGAAATGGAAAGGTTTTCTGAGGAGAGCTTCCTCTGATATGTCCAAACATTATAAAATGTGACAGTTTTCTGACATCTGTGAAACGTAAAACCTGTGAGATATAATTAAAATATTAAATAAGAAGTGAAAAATGTCGGAATTTTCAAATTTGATAGCATCATCTTCATATAATGATAGCAATGATATAAATTCACCGACAGAAAAAGATAGTGGGAAGGAATTTAAACCGAAGCCGGGGTCACGACGGTCGCGTGCGTCGGCAAACTCTAGCCGACGATCTTGCGGTAAATGTTAAGATACTGAAGTTTTAAAACAGGTTGCATTTGTTGTATCAGATTTCATTGGCATTCAATTCAAAAGATCTTTTACTGCAAAATGAACGTTATTGATTTGATTTGCTGCTAATTGATTATCAGATATTTCTGCAAAGAACAATAATTATATTTATTATAAGAACTTAATATTACAAAAGTTATTTAGAGAAATGACCACGTGAAAAACGGACACAGCATGACACGTGTCATCTGCAAACATTTATATTGTTTCTACCAGTTGTTTAACTGTTGCGTTCTTTTCTATTTTCAGCGCACAGTGAGAATTGCCTGGAGAGAACGCTGCACTGTTTAAGTCACGTGCCTTGCGCGTCCTTAGTGGCATGGATCGTTTTATTTTTAGGTCTTGGCGGAGTGACTGGCAGTCTCCTGATTGGCGCAGACAGAACACGTGACCTGCTGGAAGATGATCGAATGTAAGTCATTATATGCATTGACAGAAATAGATTGTCTAGTCAATCGATGCGGATTTTAATTGCAATCTGGTTTGACCTTATAACGTATAATCGATTCATCAGTGTTGTGAAATGTACGCAAAGAATACTGTTTTGAATAGATGTAATGTACATATTTTAACTTGACGATTCCTTCTACAGTTGTTAGGGTAATGCTATTGAAGACTTTACAAATGTGAATATCTGTGCACTTTCAGATCTGGTGCGTGCCTGTTTCTAAATATTTCTTAGCTTCAGTCCGGTGATTCTTTTTCTGATTCCACAAGAACTTTAAAAGTTAGTAAAGCCAAAATTAGAGATACATCTGTCACAATTAAAGTATCTCTGGGAAAATCAGTTAAAGATTGAAATACGAATGAAACTTGTTTCGTTACCCCGTGTATACTTGTTAAAAGGTATTTTATAGTGAGATGGTCTTTTCAAAAACTATCAATAGTATGCGACTCGAACAACACTGTATTCTTAAAAGATAGGGAACTTGTGAAACTGTGGTGTTTACAAGCGCTTTGGAAATAGTCATTGAAGATTTTTGTATGATACATGTACATTAAAATGTCCTTAGATGTCATTTTCTCACTGAACACTTCTACTTTTAGATACTATCATAAACATGTATATATCACCAAGTGTTCAATGTGTCGTGAACGAGGTTAATGTATCTCTAATGATTGAATAGTTGTTGTGTTCTCAAGTAGAAAGATATGAGTTGTATATTATATGATTTTATTGTAATTACATCATTTAAAGTGTAATGGTACAAAAAGAGTCCTTATTTGATGGGATATGATAACTGGTTTATTTTTTCAAGTCATACGATAAAGGATCATAAAAAAATAATATAGTTTTCATTATATTCAACTTTACTATTATATTTATGTTATAGGGAGAGCTATTCTAGTCACCGGGACCTTGACATCTGTGTTTTGCTGAAGTGTTTCGAGCTTTCTCACTTTTTCTATATATTTTAGGCTTTGAAACTTTGTATACATGTTTATGACCATCATCTCCACTTCTGACAAAATTATGCCCCTTTTTCGGTCGGTCAAGTTTCTCGTATCACCCCCCCTTTGAGATATTACAGTATAACCTGTTAATTCCAGGAAAGAGAACATAACTCTGTAAAGAATTTTGATATAAGTTCGCCCCATCATACCCACACTTCCCACCCCTTTCGATAGAGAGTTTAGATTATCTTTCATAACCATTTCGATCATTTCGAGTAAACTGCTATGTTGTTGTTGTTGTTACAGAATCATACAGTTATGCATGTTTGGTTACTTTAACCTTGAACTTCTATTTAAGATTATGGTTCATGGAATTCACCTTAATCGGGGTCATCTCGGGAATGTTTGTAATTGGCACGTGTTTGTTGATAATGTGCCATTACTCGAGCGACCCGAACAGTCGCCATGCATTCAACACCTCAAGAAAAAATACGTGTGCAAGAGGACTTAACATATTTGTAAGTATATTCCTGTATCTATATGTAATTTGATAATAAGATGAACGTTTATTGTGTCGAACTTCATAACACGTTTTAGCCTGTGAGAACAGGTTATAGATGCAAAATATTTAGAACTTTTTGTACATTATACCGAGCGATAATAATCATCAAAGAGGTCATCATTTGAGAAGAAACTCGACTTAGAATGGTGACATGATTTTTAAAAAGGAAATACTTGTATTTTTGCAAAATATTTTTATAGTCAAACGGAATTAGAAAAAAAGTGTTTAAAAAAACAAACAAACAAAGACAAAAAAACAAACAAACCCTTTCCAATTCAATTTCCCTTCAATGTTTAAGCTAAACAGTCAAATAATGATTTTCGACAGAAGCTCGCTAGAATCACGTGATAAACAAGTACATGTGTCACATGTTAAGATTATTTTATTTTCGACAGATGCTCGTGCTGTGTTATATCCTCGTGCTTGCCTGGGTGTTTGCTAGTGCTATATTAACCATTCCTGTAGGTGCATTCACCCTCCTAATCATCATGAAGGACTACCAGGATGTTAAAACCATCGACCTGGCAAATTATGGTAAGTCACGTGGTCTCCTATAATTGTTATTAATATATGTTATGTGAGCTGGACTTGATACCCTTTAACTCTTTAATAACACACATCTTTAACAAATAGAGATATGTTACTAAATTTTAAATTATTGGTGTGAATCATTACGCCATATAAACTTTAGCGAACCCCTTTCTGGCAGGACATTCAGCGGGACATTTAGTTGGAAATAAATAATAATCTCTGTGTGGATATTTAAGTTTATTTATACTCGCAACCAGTTGGCAATATGAGTGTTCCGGAAGATTATTAGTCATCTTATATTTTGGAGGATAGTGCAATATACAGATGAAGAAAGATGTCCATATTCCAGAAGCTTTTCCTGGTTCTTTCGCACACATTCATGCACGGGACTTCAATTTAAAGTCTCATACGAAAAACTGATTAGTAATTTTAGTTGGCCAGCCCGGTATTCGAACCCTTAATGTCCAGATTACTAGTCTCGCGCTCTAACCGAATGAGCTTTGCGGGCTGGCTAAAAATAAAAATCTCTGCTTTAAAACACGCTTATATATAAACTAAAGGGAGGATACTCGAGTAATTGATATAAATTTTTCACCTTTAATGGCAAAGATCAAATTTGATTTGTATAAACGTGATTTCTTCTGTTGTATTTTTAATAATTAGATGATTCAAGTTGTACTACAGTTGTTTTACAATAATGTGTACTTCTTTGTTCTTAAAGGGTGTCATTCTAGAATCATTACCGGTGAAGAACTGGAGAGATTTGTAAATGAGGTAAGCTATGCACTTATTTAAACAAGGAAATTGTGCAATGAATATGTTATTCAAATGAGACATTATTAATGCCTGTCGCTTTATGTATTCAAATGGTCTTTGTATTGTATTATATGACCGGAAACGCTTACGTTTTCTAGTTTAAAATGAGTAAAAAGTCGTATAAAGATATAAAAAGGCTTTTGAGTCTATATTGATAAGGAAATATAATTTTAGGTCAATATTTGAATATATAATGCAATTCAAAAGATGAAGCGACATGTGTCTCCTTTCACTTCCGCTGGCTTTAAACATGAAAATCTTGTTCTTATGAATATATTACATTTATGTAGCATATTGTTAAATCAGCATTAAAACGACACTTGTATCCCGACCTGCACGTACATTTTTTACACTGTTAGAAAAACAATCTATATCAAATCACAATTGTCCCATCTAGCCTCGTTTTCATTTTCCTAATCCAAAATATCCGTATGGAACCACTATTGTACTCTATCTAGTCTCGTTTTAATTTTAGAAAAGTTCTGTCAAAATGTCAAAAATATGGTGGTGTGAATATACATGTACCTTGTTAAGTACAATACTGATTCTATTGTACTCGTACACAGCTTCATGCCTATATTAGACTCGAACATCTTATCCACTATGGGTTTGAGAGCTGTGTACTTGTCCAAAATAATTCAGTATAGTTCTCAACAATGTTTTATAACCTCTTCACGACTTAAAAAAAGTTTATTTTTAGTATTTATCGATATCTGCAGTTTCATGCAACAAAATAGATAAATAAACAAGATGTGTCACCGTAAATGTAAACAATTTGTTTATAGTGAATGGAAATTGCAATATTGATATCGTCTGAATAGAGGGAAATAAATGTGTTTCTATTATCGTTATCTTAGTTGATGTAGTTATTTCCCTTGTTATAAAACAAAATTTCGAAAGCAAAAAATGTTTTGTTATTATTATCTTACCAATATTACGTTACTGATATTTTCAGGGTCGGGATTTGTTGATCTGCTACACGGCAGCTTACTTCTCGGCTGTGTTCATAATCATCAGCTTGGTAAGTATTCTTTGCAATTTTTGTTTATTGAATAACCAGTCAAAACAAGATTATAATACATTTAAGTATGAACATCATTAAGAATCTGCTCCCAAAAAACAAGATGTTCGATTTAAACTTTTACTCAGCATGATGTTTACACTAAGGTGGGCCGGTGCCCATGCAGTAAACGTGCCCTGTCTTTAAACCAAAAGATTGGGGACGGTAGGTAGGTTCGAGCACCGCTTGGGTCAAAGTTGTTTTTTGATAGATACGTGCGTTCTTTAATGGTTTATCCTGGCAGACGACAAATATGTCATCGCATGACAAAAGAGTTTCTGAATAAATTTTGTGAACCAGTGTGTATAGTTTTCCATAAGTTGTGGAAATTTATATAGGGGTAACAACTTGTGCGTTTAAATGAAGAATGGAGTACATTTTCTAGTTATGGTTCCTGACTGCTTTTATGTTGTTTTTGTTGTTTACAGATCCATTTCCTGATGTGTATAAGCGCAAACATTACCCACCTTCGTGATGCTAGATTTGCTACACTTAACGCTTACGAAGAGGCGGAGGACGCTCAAAACGCTAAACAACTTAACGATACAACAATGTGACTTCCGGTCACGTGATATTTCAGGCACGTGATACCCACTAAAAATAAGTGGCTCTAATATTTTGGATTTTCGATCTCAGAAAAAAGTGTAATTGAGCAGTGTAATTACAAAGTGCAATAAGTCAAAAGAGATTAGAAAAACAGATGGAATACTCAGATATAAAGTGTTGTTAGTAGATTAAAAAGTATTTTAGGCGTTTGAATAAAATAGTTTGAATAAAATAGACAAAAAGAGAAGAAATATATTTTCAAAGAAGTCAAGGAAAGAAAAATGGACGACAAGTTTTAGATTAGTTATATGTTGATGCTTCTACTATTGGTTTGCTTTATATTTCGGTGTTGATTATTAAACTGGATTACATGCATGTTGTGTTTTAAGATAAGGTTGAAGGACTAGAGTGAATGCAGACTTGAACTGAAAGGTTTTTTACACATTTCGGAAGATACGTTTATCTGAGACAAATTTTCTTCTCTGTATTATAAAGTCACATTTTGCCGGAAGAAGTGCTACTTGGCTACTTTTACTCGGTTTTCTTGCCATATGTTATATCAGCAGGAAACACCGCTCTAAAATGTATTCTCACCCAAGAAATATGCATACGGAATATTTTCTTTGGGCGTAAAACAGGCGTTTGGTCAAAGCTTTACTCTTCTGTGAGACATCATACTACTCTCGATCGTAAAAAAGTAAAACAGATTCAATTCATACCTGTTCGATTTCATTTTCTACATACATTACATCGCCATTGTGCTATATAAATTGCATGCTATCCAAAGCATGCCGAAATAGCCGGAAGCATGTCATAGGAACCGGAAACACGTCATCACATAAACATTACCTTTTGATATTAGTGAAAGTTCTAGTAAAAAATCATGACAACAGATTTCACATATTTTTGTTGTTTATCATTTTTATTAGCTATGCCTCATTCTCATAAAAAAAACTTCTGCCATAAATTGTGCATGCATTACAGAAAGGTTTTACTTCTAAATATTTGAAGATCGTGTCCGGATGCAGGATTTGGATGTTACCGGTATTTGTTTATGTGTAACAGATTTCTGAAGAATTATTTTGCCCCTGTGCAATAAAATGGTACAGAAGGTGTCGGTTTCTGATTGACGAAATGTTGCTCATTGATTCTCCACTAAACGTGCAAATTAGAAAATATTCTGTCCCTCGAGTATATTTTGTTGCACTGCAGTTGAAAAATACTTTTTGGACATTCTATTGCTTCATTACATGGTAATGTATGTAAAGCATTCAAATTAATGACTTAGTCTGTTGGATTTATACGAAAATATTATCATGCAGAGGTGCTGTATAACCCATTATGTAATGTCCCCAGGCTTGGTGCCTATATTACTGTTGGTTTTACACAATTTCACCTGAAACATGTGTTGAAAAAAAACTCTTAAATATTAAGTTTTAGTTTAAATGTCTAAGTGAGCGATTTTAATTGTTTTCTACAGTGAATTTGGAAAAAAGTTCCAAGCTGAAATGCATGTCCCTCATATATTGAACAGATACGTTACCACACTTCAGGTAAACCTGAGTAAGAGTAATATGAACTTGTAACATATTAATAGTTTGCTATTGAACTCAAGTTTATTCATATTTCATTATTCAAAAATTATTTTGACTACAATATACATGCTAGAACCACAATGACCTCGCAATGCTGAGACAATTTAGATTATACTTTAAAGTGAAACAGATACGTTACCATGATATCCAACTGAGAAACACTTACTATTACCAGCACTTGAAAGTAGGATCGCATTTATGCATTATACCAATACATGCTTTACAAAACTTAATATTTTGATATATTTGGCAAACATATGTGTCTATCTGATATATTTTAGTTTTTTTACCAACAGATACGTTACCAACAGATACGTTACCATTATTTATTATTTGAATCTTAATTGACGATTTTGCTCAGATTTGAAATGGTTTCATGTAAAAAATCATAGCAGAACGTGCGTGTAGCCGATAAATGATGCTTTGACCTCGATTTTATTGGAAAAACTGAAAATGTGAATCAGGAATTTGAAATTCAAGGATTAGTTGAGTTTTCTAGAAAATAAAATGTTGAAAAACAGGAAAGAAACATATAAAGATTAACTGTTTTTATTTCCTGGAAAAATATATGTTGATATCTTTTTGGTTTGCAAACTTTGTATTAAAAATAAAATGTAGATGACTGTATAACTTCTGGTAACGTATCTGTTTATCAAAGTAACGTATCTGTTTAGAAAGAGATTTCAGTACTGTTTAATATATATAACTAAATTCTCAACAAAACTTTGGTTTAAATAAGTAATATATGGTTAGGCAATATATAACAGCAGTGTAAACTTAATGAAAAAAAAAAACATTAAAGTATTTTAAATGGATGCCAGTTAGTTAGTTAATTTTAGTCAGGGTGCGTATTAACATTTTCTGTCTATGGTAGGGATGGACTTATTGGATATAGCTCAAAATCTTGGAGGTGCACATATATATGGATTGATTATTACTAAGTTGGTTTTCTTTAAGCGGTACCATTGTTTCTGATATAACTTTGTTTAAATGTAGATAAGCATATACATGTAGGCTTACTCATATCACCAAGTATGACAAAATAAAGGATCGAGATTGTACCAGTATATAAAGAAAAAGTATATAGAAAAAAATAAAGATAATTGAACATCAGATGAACCAAAAAGACAAACGAAATACAGAATGTCAATTCACACTATGAACCACTCACATTAATCTAGCTGTTACTTATTCTAATAGATGAGTGTCTTTATTTAAATGTTCTTGTTAAGTTCAATATGTTTCTTATTATATTTGACTATTTGAAGCCAAACATAAAACAATAAAACCTAAAAAAAACCTGTAAATGATATTGTGTGTTCTGTTTAATATTAAAAGTAATAGTACTTGTTCAGACATATTATTTATTGGTCAGTTGTTTAAAAAGCTTTATGAATATCTATCTACGTGTTCAGGGTTTTTCGTAATTTTGTTCATAGTAGAACGGTGAAACAGATACGTTACTATGATTTAATATTAGTTCCCACTTAGTGGAATGAATTTATATTGTAAAGTAAGTCCGAGCTACATTGTGTCAATAGAGAAGTATGGATTATCAGTATTTTTATTGGCCTAAAATGGTTTTATAAGTACATCATGTATTTGGAATAACCATTTCTGATTAATAAGTAACATTTTCATCAGCTTCTGTTCACAAGCTATTCATAGACGTAGATTTTTTTAAAATGCATATTGATGCATAATATTTTGTAATATATACTGGTGCTATATTGTTGAAAGAATGATTATAAATTTCTAAATCGTGTATATTCATGCTAATTATTTTTATCTAGTCTCTGAAAGCAATCGGAAAAATGGTAACGTATCTGTTTTTGCACACATCTCAGTTCTTGGTAACTTAATTTCAGGAAATATTACAAGTTTTTTGATGAAGTGTTAAAAGAACCAGTATGTGTTCAATGTTATACATGAGTTAAACCAACAAAAAAAGATGTCTTGGTAACTATTCGCAAATGTCAATTATTCACTATTACTTACATCCTAATTTGAATGTTTAGTGGAGAATCAATGTGCTTCTTTACTACCATATAATACAGTAACTTTAGCATTGACCAAATATCACATAATGGAAGTACATACTAATGATGATGATCACGACGAGGATGATGAAGATGATGATGATGCAATTTATTGAAAGCCAAATTTTCTGGATCCTAACCTTTGCTGCCAATTTTTAACAGTTTTAAAAGACTTTGTTTTCAATGATACACATGTACACGAAAACGTAATGGTCTTCTGATTTTTCTATAAAATGAAGCATGGCTGTTACAAGGGTTTAACATGTTATAGACTCTAAGTCATTTTGTTACGTTTGTTTATATGTTCTTGTTTCTATAGACATGTACACTGATTAAGGATCGACCAAAAAAAAGGGTTATATTTGAGCCGCGTCACGACAAAACCAACATAGTGGGTTTGCGACCAGCATGGATCAGGACCAGCCTGCGCATCCGCGCAGTCTGATCAGGATCCATGCTGTTCGCTTACCAACTCTATTACAAGTAGAGAAACTGATAGTTAACATCATGGATCCTGATCAGACTGCGTGGATGCGCAGGCTGGTCTGAATCCATGCTGGTCGCAAACGCATTATGTTGGTTTTGTCGTGACGCGGCTCATTTCTTGTTTCTTGTCTGTTACTTTGTCTTGTGTACATACTGGTGTAAATGGCAGCTAGACTGTGTAGTAAGTTATAAGACTGATTGTTTTCTTACACATATGTAATATGCAAATGACATAAATCTATATTCTTCGGTTTGACTTTATTTGTGTAATACATATATGTAGTTGATGAATGTAATGTTACCATATATTACTTGTAAAGGAATTTTTGAATTGTGTTTATATTTAGATTATTTTTACAAAATGTCGTTCGCTTAATTTCTAAGGACTATTTTTTGGGCAAATTACTTCCCGCCGTGTATACGCTTATGGTAAACTTTGTACTTTCATATGGTACTATATCTTTTTGTATTTATATATGATTCAAAACATGATTCTACCGAGAATTCTGTATGTTTTGTCCTGTAAGTTAGAAATAAATTTAGAATGATTTGTTTTCACTGATTACTGTGTTAATAAATTAATATTATAAAACATCTAAACATACCTTCATATGCAATATGATGTTGTGATGACGTAGCTAACTTGAACGACACCAATAAACATGATTAAAGATGGCTGAAGTCATTAAAATAAAAATTAAAAACAATTTATAGGGTTTTACAGTTTGAGAAAGATCTGTTATTCATATAGAAGTATGACAAAGAAAGTAAACCGGCAATGATCATGTGTGAATTTACAATAGACATTACTTAAAATTACTGAACAAATGAAAATTAGAATAATTGTAGTTGTTCATTAAGACATTTTTTTATTAATTTCTTACTATTCTTTACGCGGTAAAATCAAGATGTCAATTTCTTCATAGTCTGCAGCGAGAAAAAAGAAGGTTTAACGAGTTGAACAAGCTCATTTCCATCCTCAAACAAACCGAATCTGCAACATGTTCAATTCTCTTTAAACTATCATTAGGGAGTATTTTTTTCTCTTTCTATTTTGCATACCCGTACTCGGATGCTTTTGGAATGTCATTATTTCTTCTTCTTCATCTCTTCATTTCGCTCAAAATATATTTGCGATTTGATTGAAATATTCTTTGAAATATTTAAACTGTTGAGTGTAATGTTATTATTATCAGTGTTAGTTTTCCTTTTACTGTTTGAATTTTAACGTATGTTAAATATTTGAAAATATTGTTGTAATGTTTCATTCGCCTTTTATAACA